AGTCATCTCATACCATTAAAGAGATACAATTTAATGTCTCTGGCTTGTTTAGTGCTTGATACATCGCGCTTTTAGTAGTTTTTTACAGCACCGTTATATGGGGAGTGGGCGGAGTTGCCACCCGATTTCACCCATTTTCACACTATCGATAGAGGTTATAAAAACATTTGTTCTCAGTGAATTGTGTTATCATGGCGTTAGCTTTTTAGAAGATACAAATTAATTCAAGCTTACTTAACATAAATATTTATACCCTAAACAGGGTATCTTAAGTCCTTTTATGGAAACGGTTTATATTCTACAACATATCTTCACAAAATTTGGCAAAGGTTATTGTCCAAGACAATATTACAATCTTCCGAATATATTGTTCAGATAGGACCACCATGGCATATAGCTGCCATTCAAATTGACCGATCAAAATCAGGATAAAGATCTTTATACCCTGACAGGGTACATCAAGTTTGCCACAATGCTTGTCGTCGGAGACCCTATAAAGTATATAAATATATAAATAATCAGCGTGACTGCTGCCTGTTTTTTGAGATAACGGTCTAAAATTTTGCACAAGTCCTTTTCTTACCAAGAAGCTGCTCATTTTCAGAGCCGCCGATATCGGACAACTATAACATATATCTGCCATACAAACTGATCGATTAAGATCCTGTTCCTCTACGAAAAACCTTTTTTATTTGACAAAATATCTTCACAAAATTTAGCATCGGTTTTTATGCCTAAAAAAATACACTTATTATAGCTTCGTTTCAGCCGGAGTTAATGTTTTTTTCTTGTTATTAGACGAACAAACCTCTAAAAACACCCTATAATGAAGCTTGATGAATATTATAAAACAAACAATACATATCTATAAGCAAATATATACATACAATATATAATATTATCTAACAAACATTTGCTAACATCTGTGATCTTGAACATTGAAATTTTGAAACGATCGAAAATGCCAATACAGCAACAATACAATTCTTAATGGATCACATTGTTGACTCAGCGTATAAATTATTAAAATATTTGTCGCATATTCTTTGCGAAATTCCTAATCGAACAATCACTTCCGCACGCGCACAGCCGCCCTCGCAAATTATATCACTAAATTATTACATTAACCAAAGATCCGTTGCACGAATGCCGACGACAAACATACATACATACAAATGTGTTTGTCGTTTATAATATATATGCACATAAGTATGTATGTATAAAGATATTGTGTGCGAATAAAGTTATACTATGTTGTGGAATCGTGATGGTGGCCAAAATAAAATTTTTGATCTCCAAAAAGATTACGCGAATGCCATTCGCATATATTTATGATCATAGATATACATATATATGGATATGTAGATGTGTGTGTGTAGGTACGATCACAGGAACATGTGTCTGTACCGTCAGTATCCTCGCTGTGGAGCACACGCTCAACAACAAAAGCAACAACACACACACGTCTATGAAGCGTGGCCAAAGTGAATAAAATAAATTCAAAAAAAAAACTTGAAATAATTTGATGATGAACAGTAGCCGCAAAAATTCCAATGCCCACATCTTATAGCCAAAAAAAAAAAACTACAAAATGATTTACACACAAACTTAAACCTGGCGCGCGGGAAAAAAGGAAGAGCCAACGCAACAACTGCAACAACTAAAGAGGAATCTAAACACACGTAAGCGCACAGCCACAAAATATTATCTTGAGCAACCAAATATTCACACTCAAAAATGAATGATCCACGGTCAGACATAGTACATCCGAATATGGACCGGGGGGTACGAAGCGTTGGATGACTAAGTGGGCAGATACTATCTAGCTAGGTGGATAGATGACATGGCAGATTGAGAAAGCAAAATGCTGGTGAGGGTTTTGAGGTGTCTAAATACACACACGCACACATACATATGTATATATATGTATGTACATATGTATGCATGTATGTATATTTGGCAGTCAGTGGCGTTGGCGCTAGCGCTGGCACTGACGCTTACGCTGCCGATGAACTGTTGCTGGCAAATGAGTGCCGATGGAAAATGACAGGCAGGGCGATGAGGCTATATTTTGGTGATGGTGTTGCTTGAAGTACCTTCGAGTAAGATCAGACTGCATAACCACATATGTATGTGTGTGCGTATGTAAAATCATCTACATATGTGTGCGTGTGTGCATGAATATATTGTGTACGCGTTGTAGCGGCAAGTGGTTGGCGGTTGGAAGGATGAATAGATGGATGGATGGATAGATTTGTTGGCTGCTTTGGTGGTTTCGTTGGTTAGTTGACTTTACTGTGGTTGTATTGTATTGTGTGCGTGCGTATATGAATTTTTCGCTATATATATATTAGTCAATATGCGCAATGGGTTGGAGAACAAGTACACACACACACACATACATATGTATACATATATGTACATACAAATGGACTTGATCACATGCAAACATACATGCTCACATACATACATATGTACATATAATGTTATAAATATTGATTTTGCACATTTAGTGTTTTAGTTTATCAACGATTCTCATCCACCGTGGAAGTGCGAAAGTGGTAATCTCCGACGCGATAAACCGAGAACAAGAGTCGACGTGTGTTTTTTGTGATCAGTGTCCCTAGAGGGTGTTTATTGAGCGGCGTTCATATAATCTTACAAAATGGTAATTAGTGTTTGAAAATGTTGATAAAAATGTGTAAAATAAAACAAATATATTTAAATAATAAAAATGGCAAAAATAAGAACAAAATAATAATTTTATAAAAAATATATTAAGAAACAGTTAATTAAAAAAAATAATAATGATAAAAATTAATTTCTTACAGTTTTGTAAAATATAATAATTTCGAAAGCCACATTTTGAATAAAAAGTTTCTGATAAAAAAATTAATATTACAAAAAACAATAAAATAAACTATGTGCTTAAGAAAAAAATATAAAAGTGCGAAACCTGTATCTAAATGAAGTGTTGCATAATATCTGTTCTATTATTAGAATCTGTTTCATTTTTTTTATTATTTAAATAGCCACAGTTTAAGTCCAAAATATTACCGATTTACAATATTCCGACTCCAAAATATTTTTTTGTTTTATTTTTTGAGAAAAAAATTTTCTAAACAGAACATAAACAAGACAAAAACGTTAACTTTGGTTGCACCGAAGCTAGGATACCATTTACAAATAAAAAAGTTTTCCGTACAAGAACTTGATTTTGATCGTTCAGTTTGTATGTCAGTCATATACTACAACAAATAAGCAGCTTTTAAAGAGAAAATATCTTAAAAACTGAAGGACTACTTCGCATATATACCAAATACACTCAGCTCCTCACGCTAATCATTTAGATATGTATTTTATAGAGTCTCGGACGTTTCCTTCTAGGTGTTACAAACTTCGTGGGAAACTTAATATACACTGTCTGTCTTTGTTCTTAAAAAACTAGAAACTGTAATTTTTGACGACATAGTTCCAAAAACGCTAAGCCATAACCTCGAAACTAAACAAAAAACGAAAACGAACTCAATAAAAGTTATTCGAATTGCCTGGAAAGTGTTAAAGAGCAATAACGAAATATGAATTATAAATTAAGTTTTCTAAGCGTTAAGGTTAACAAGTTTATATAACAAAATCTTTGTTATACTTTTTTTACATCACTAAAATTTTTTAAATTATTTGTACCGTTTCTTGCCACCCTGGAAACTGGTCAGTCCTTGAAACGCATATACATATTTATATTATTTTCAAGAAATCGTTGATAAAATCGAAAAAGTACGTGGGGTTCTTAAAATATGAATATTAAATGTTCACTTTCTTTAGGAAATCTTCGAGAAATTTACTCCCAAATTATATATCTTGCTTTGATCTTACGAAACGAATATGAGTAGTTCCAACCCTTCGAACTCATAGCCTTTTTGACACATTATATCTTCTTTTAGGTATTATGGTTGGTCCAGATTTTTGCAATCGACATAGGTTAGTCCTTAGGCTTGAACCTCACGCCATAAGTAGCACTGGTACTCACTTGGACAGCTATGTACGTTGGTTATTTGTGATACCCAAAAACTCCTACAAATATATCACCAAATCCTCATAGATCGACGCAACGTTTTGAGCTTACCACAAATTTGTTAAGGCGGTTAATGCCAAAAACTTCGATAGGTTCTCCGAAAATGTGTCTAACGAAATAATTCAAACTTAGTCTGGCAAAACCTCTCTAGTAGAGATGAAATTAGCTAGATGTTTCCGCCTCGACTACTTTTAAATAGTGTCCAGTCAGAACACAATTACGGCGAGATGAACTTTGCTATGAGTAACTAGGTCAGAAGATCTCTTACAGTTCACTTTGGACCAGAAAGATCTTGCAACCATGTTTGTCGAGTTCGGGAGGTCCATACAGCCAGCGATAGAGCGCAAGAGGATGATCAATCTGACCGACCAATCTGATAAAATAAGAATAAGGGTGCCCTCCCTAGCAAGCTCCAAACAAGTCTAATACTAAAAAAGCTTGAAAAGTGTTATTAAAATAAAAGCCTGCAATGTTTTGACTTTCTAGTCTGATCCTTTTCAGTACTATTAAAAGTTCAGTTTAGTAGTGGAAGTTTTTTTAAAGCAAAATTTGTGTGGACTAACCAGAAAAGTATACATACGTAGAATTTAAAATCTTTCGATCACGAACTAAGCCGGGCAAAAAGATATGTGGGACATTGTGGACTTTATTATCGGAACAGTACCGAAGTAAAAATACCTATATCGATACCTTGTGTAAAGGGTAGTAAAAAAAATAAAATAAACTAGAAGTCCGTACATGTCAAACCCCCAAACACTTAGTTGTAGTTGAAAGCTTTTTTATCGTATCCTTGGTGAAAAAATTCTATAGGTGTCCAATTAATGCTACTTTTTTTTTGCTGGAATAAAAATGTTTTATACAAGTAGCTTGTCTTTTTTTTTAATCATTACTAATGTTTTTTCTCCACTTCATTTTTAATAATTCGCAGGAGGATGATGAGAAAATGGACATCATGCGCAAAGCATTCCAAATGTTTGACACCCAAAAGACCGGTTTCATTGAAACACTTCGCCTCAAGACCATCCTAAATAGTATGGGTCAAATGTTCGATGAGAGCGAATTGCAAGATCTCGTCGATGAGAATGATCCCGAAGATACCGGCAAAGTGAATTTCGATGGTTTCTGTAATATAGCGGCACATTTTCTCGAAGAAGAGGATACCGAGGCTATACAAAAGGAATTGAAAGAAGCTTTCCGTTTGTACGATCGTGAGGGTAACGGTTACATTACCACATCCACATTGAAGGAAATTCTCTCGGCTTTGGATGATAAACTCTCCTCAAGTGATTTGGATGGTATTATTGCGGAAATCGATACTGACGGTTCGGGAACTGTAGATTTCGATGGTGAGTTATTTTTTAATAAATGTTTATTTTATAAAGTTTTTAAGGTGGTGGCTCTACTAACAAAACTGTAGGAATTGTTTAAAGTGATTTAATATCAGCATACTGCTTTTTGGTAAAAAAATTGTATACCTTTTGTGGGAAATATTCGAAGAATTAATTTTAAGATGGTCGACAGTATCAAACTTTCGAACTTCTGAAAATAATACATCTTATAGTAAATAGACCATGAATGCATTTTCAGCCTTATTTTACTATGTAATACCGATCAATTTAACTAAAAAAGTGTATTTTTTTGGCAAATTCTTGCTTGAATGTATCGTATAGGGTTTCTAAACACTTGTGATGCCTTAAACCTTCTTGAGTGGGCGAATCAAGAACGTCCCAAGACACAAGAACCTTAATTTAACAAAAACTAAATATTCTTAGAGATTTTGAAATAACGTTTTCATAGATGTGGGCACCCGTACTCTTCCAACTCGGCCGGGGGCCGTTCAAAGTTTTCCACGAATGTAATTTTTTGTTTTTAATTGGTCGCCCCTTTGTAGGCAGTGGTAACCAACCATCTCAGCTACTTCGCAAATTTGTGTAGAAGCTCAGTCAAATGCTTAGCAAAGGTATATTTGTTTATACAAAGGCCTAGTATATGAACACAAAGTGACCAAAAATTCTTTTACAATACAGTTTTACACAACCTTCGGATCCGAATGTTAAATTCTTATTAGAATATTTTGAGTTCTTTGCGGTATACTTAGAGTATTCTCTAATGAACTACGCTGCAAATATCTTTAAGGCTCAAAATCTGATTTCCACATGACAGCGAGAATAAACCTGTTGAATTAACACAGGTGGACCAGTAGGTCCGTTGTTTCATAAAGGCCTGCTATGCCTTCTTGAAACATGATGTAGTAGTAGGCTAGAATAAATCTAAGAAAGTAATGTGAATTAAAAATAAACTATGTCTCCCAATTTATTGTAAAACTTGGAGCTAAAAGTGAAGATGTTTATTGATCAAACAGTCCGAGAAGCCGAGTATTTAGGGATGTTCTTTGTACTTTTTCTAACTTAGACCAGGGTAGATAATTTTATAAAACCAAGAAAATCATAGTAAGATGAAATCCATCGGAAACGAAAGAAAAAATAACTAACATTCAAGGAAAAATAATATACGGGCGATCTGCTGTCAGAAAAAGTAAGGGGAGGAGCGTGGTTGAATTTTTAAGGGTTAACAACGGTTTATCTCGATTTCCGGCAAAACTACGAGTGCTATAGAAAAAAGTTATATGGCAATGTTGTAGTTAATGAAAAGATTTACTACTTTTGTACAAAGACTTTTTTCACAAAACCTCAAAAATAGTGTAAAAATTTAAATAACCAAGTTTTTTTTTTTTGTTTTTTAACTTCTACAAACTATTTTTTTCTTTTACTAAATTTGGTGTAAACACTCCGCATGTCCGAAACTTACTGTTTTTTTTTATTCTGTTGGGTTACAACCTACAATGAATTTCTTTTTTTTTATAATTTTCAATGGCTTTTGCACTAGTCTAACTATTTTACTAGCTAAGGTTACTTTTTAATATAGAGTTTTAAAATATCCCATAATTATTTTATCATTGGAATGGTTTCTGAAGGCTATTTTCGTTTCATGCTATTGCATTTAAGCTTAATCTGACTTCGCTGACTATTTTTATCGAAGAATTGCGACTTATTTCGTAATGATTCGACTCCGGTTAAGAGCAATCACAACTGTGGTGTACGCAATTCGACTAATGAAAGGACCTACACCTCTTAAATTGACTTTTAGAAATTTGAGCTTTTACGAGCATATTTATTATGGCAGAAATATGCTCGATTGTTTACCGAATATTACGCGAAGGACGATCGCTTTTAGAAAAACTTTGAGATTTTAATCGGAATCGGCATTGAACCCAGATCCTGTGTAGTAGTAGCGAATTGTTTTAACCACTACAACACGATGACCATCACAGCGCTGTTTCGGCCTTTAGAGGTTAAGTTTGGAAAACTAAAAAATATTACTTCAAAACTACCGTTAAGTTTATAAAAAGATAAAAATACAAACAAAAAATTAACGTCAGCCATAAAATTAGCCAAAATTGTATGGAAGCCTTTTCAAAGCATTCCATATAAAAACATATAAATATCACAAAGCAAAACACATAAAAAACGAGCTAATTTTGGAATTTCCCAACGCTGCCAAATTAAATGATTCCATCAAATCGGCTGTAAAGTATGGCATACCGTTAATTGCTGGTTATAAATAAAGACATTTGACTGAGGAAATTTTTAAAAGATAATTAATTATTTATTGACTGCGGGTTCAGCACAAGTGCACCAACTGAAATCTGCATGCTATACTTATTTTAAGAATACAACAACAACAATAGCCGCATTAGCTGCCACTTGTGCCAATTGAGTTTTTCATGTTTCGCCGAAATTATTGAAATGTTTATTTTCGTTTACAGAATTCATGGAGATGATGACTGGAGATTAATTCTTTTTATGTACAACTACACGCGTACCTACCTATATACTTATATGTTGCATACACATATACACACATGCACACATACTAAGTGGTGCAACGAGAATAGATGAAGGAGGGGAGGCATTGCAATAAATACCAACAATAAAAACAGACGTGCAAATTGTTATGGATCGTTTTGTATGTTATGTTCTACTTGTTGTTGTTGTTATAGTGTTTGATTTTACAAATGTGTGTATTAAAATGAAATTAATTATAAATTTATGCATATTTATTTCGAGTATATATAAATACTACATATAAAATATTATAGACCTTACATATGTATATGTTACATATATATGTATGTATGTATGTATGTAATAAAAATGATCCAAAAACTTAAGTGTGCGTGTGTAATTTATTTCGAAAGGCCAAAGTCATCACTTGTGCAATGCACGAACGGTAGATGGGTGGCTCGGGCGTTTGGGTGGATATATAATTAATTTGAATGCAATGTGGTGAGTAGATTGTGGGATTTTCAGTTATTAATGCGCACATTTGTAAGTGTATTTGTCAATAATTAATATTAATTGATATTAAAACTAAAAATATTTCAAATAGCAATTATTACTTATTTAATATGTACATAAAAATATTTTGTAGCATATATTATATAAAATATTTATGTTACTAAGAAAATAAGCACGTAAAAATTTAAAGTTTATTAAATACATTGAAAATTTAAAATATTTTTAAAAAACACTCAAATATTTTTTATATTATTTATGTAAATATTACTTAGTAATTTATATATTTTTGAACAATACTTTTTATAAACTATCTATTAACAAAAATTAACAATTTATTAAATTTAAATTTTATTTTATTTTTGTAAGTATATACACACATATGTATGTGTACCTAGTATAATTATATACACGAAAATCTTACTTAAAATAAAAATGTGATAATATTTTTGTAAATATTTTTTTTAACTTTTATAAAATATTAAAATTTAGAATTATAGTTTCGAATATATTTTTTATATTATTATCTTTTTTAATTTTTATAAAATATAAAAATTTAGAATTATAGTTTGGAAATAAAAATATTATTAACAAAAATTTGTAGCATCAAAAAAATTTAAAAAATTAATTAAGAATAAATAAAACTTATTTTAATAAATTTTTGTGTGCTAATATATATTTAATAATAACAACAAACATATAATTTAAAATATTTTTTCATTAAACTTAATACAAGCACATAAAAAACAATATTAAATTTCATAAAATAAAATTATAAAGTTCAAAATAATAAAATACTATTGCATTTCTATGAAAATTTTTTTAATTGTTATATATGTATTTATATTGTTATTAAACAGCTGAAAATTTAAAAAAGTTTATGCATATATGCATAAAGAAACTATTTTTTAATTTTTTTAAATTATATTATATTAAGAAAAATTTATAAACTTACTAATTTGCAATGTTATAATTATAAATTATAATGCAAATTTGAATTATATTGATAAAAAAATATTAATCTATTAAAAAAACTTATATTATATATACCACCTAGTGGGTAATAAAAACAAATATATTTTCTCGCTTGGTACTCTGAACATTAGGGTTGCGCTCCTAATTGTAACGTGAATGTCCTTCGTCTTACAGTTTTATATTTTTTTCTTATTATCAGATAGAAAAATTCATATCTCGTTTCCAACTATCTGAAAAAATAACTCGTTTCATAGATTGTTCAGAAAATTGAATGCTCTACAAAAATTGTCTAACGATTTTTTTATAAACCTAATCGTTTAACAGATGTTAAAGGATGAAGATTTGATTATAATTATTTAAAGGCAAATTTGTGTTTCTTATAAATTTAACTCCATGAAAAATGTATTTTTAATTAAATTGTAAAACTTATAGTTTTGTAGGAAATGTACTGCTCTACAAATATGGCCTTTGCAAGTTTTCGATTATGTTAAGTTAAGCGTTTACGAGATATCCATCGTCAAAAATCAACGAAAAAAAAAATTATTGTAAAAAAAATTAAAATAAGTTGCCATTTTTGTAGAGCAGTAAATTTCCTACAAAACTATGAGATTACCATAAACGCAAAATAAAGTAAATTTTTAAACATTATTAGAATTATTGTAATTTGATTTTATTTACAAAACTTTAAACAAAACTTATTCAATTTAAATTCTAACTTAATGCTGTTTAGATGTGCACAAAATGAAAATAAATAATTAAATAACATTTCTCAACAAAATATTTTCATATATGGTAAATGTTATTTGTATCAAAACTGTTTATTAACACAAAAAATATTAAAAAATAATTAGTATTTTTCTACAAAATATTTTCGTTATATGTTAATACAAATAATATTAAATAAAATAAACAAAATCAAAATAAACATTTAATTAAAACCAAAAATACTGAAAGGATTTTGCAAATAAAATAAAATAAAAGGAATATAAATATAAACCTGATTATTTAATCAAAATTGTAGAAGCACAAGGCTTATTTAATAATTACAACTAATTTTAGTAAAAAGTTAATACAGCTGAAAAAATAAAATAAAATTTGAATCAAAGTATTTGCATTTTAAAATAAAACTTAATGAAACTTGGACATAAACATAAAATAATGAATTAAAAAATAAGAAAATATAATAAATTTTAAATAAATATTAAATTAAAAAAATCATAATTTATTGTGTTTTCGTTTGATTTTAAATTCATTATTTTATGTTTTAAATATTTTTTATTAAATATTTATTTAAAATTTGTTATTTAAAAGTAAATAATTTTTAAAAAAATAAATAAGATTTATTTGAAATCATATATATAATATTTATAGTAATAATCAAATTTGTTACAAAAACTTTTTTTAAGTTATTAACAAAAAATATCCATATATAAGTATAAATGATACAAATATGTGTATATTTTTAGCATTTTTTCTATAATTAACAGCAAAGACTCAACTGCAAAATAACAACATACACAGCTCAGCTGTAATAATTAACTGTAATAGCTTTTGTATGATGACCGCTAAGAAGCTTGAATTCTTCTAAAAACAATAAAGACAACAACAGTATGTACAAGTTCTCAAGCAATAATCTAATTTAATTAAAACACTAAATTAAAATCACTGTATGAAACAAGCAATACTTAAAGAGTGCAGAAAACATAAATTACACAAATATTAAGGCAATATTATAAACAATTTTTAAACAAATTGAATATGGCAAATCATAAGCTTTCCAACGACACCTCTTTCAAGCAAATCGCTGCAGTATTACGTGAGTTATGAACATATACGTGACGCTATTCAAAATTACTAAATGCGGAAGTTCAGCCTGCACGTTGCGCCTTAAAGTATGCAATTCTTTTGCGCCACTGCGTGCTTCCGGCAAATTTGCAGCCGCCTGCTGCTGATTCTGGTCGCCTGGTATTGTGGGACGTTACGATATGTCGCACAGAAATTCTCGTTCACAGTGGGAGGAGGTTATCAATGCCGACAATTTTTTCTACTCTCAATTTTAAAAATGCTAATACTTCTACAAATTTGCACCGATTTTAATGATTGATGTGTCACATGAAAGGTAAAAATACAGCGCTGCTTGCTATATTATTTTCGCATTAACATGCTTCGAAATTGAAATTAAAAATATTTTCGCAACAAAATATGAGAAATTTGAGATTTTTGTGCTATTTTTGCATGTTTTTTAATTAGGTAAAATTGCAGCAGCAACTGCTTCAGGTTTTGCTTCTATGCAAAAAGTTAACCAAAAATTAAAGAAAATTCAAGTTTTTGCTTGTTATAAAAAATACCTTGCTATAAAAAAGATCTTGCTATAAAATAGATCCTGCTATAAAAAATACCTCGCTATAAAAAATGTAATAAAGCGCCGTTTTTGTTTTTCTTATAATTTTTTTGTGTGGTTATTTTTATTTTTGAAATAATTGAACTTATCAGCTATTTTGTTAAATTTAAATAAATACAGAATACTAAATGTATTGTATTTTAACATATTTATATCGTTATATAATATATATTATAATTGTATTTATTTTAGTTGTTTTTTTTAATGAATTTGCAAACGTAAAGTAAATTATTACTGCATTGCAACTATTTAGGTGTAAATGATTTACATAAATTAAGCATTAAATATAATGTTTTTATGTATATTATTCGTAAATATGGCTTATGTACTACTACAGTGTATACTAAAAGACACAAATTAACACTTTTTTCTATTTTTACACGTACAATTAGCCAGAAATGTGGCGGCACTATTTTATGTCATCAACTTATTGGCTATTACACTTATATATTTTATGTTAAACGTAAAATTGTATATGGTTTCAATATTTTCATACATACAAATAAAGTTTATATAAACTCTGTATTAGGTATGCTTACAAGCAAGTGGTTTATTTTTTGTTAGCTGCATATCTTTTATTTATTGTTTTTTTTTTATATTGTAAAACCATTTTTTTCAATATTTGCTTGCACTACACAACTAGAAAAACCTTATTTACAAAGTTTTGCAATAAAATATTTAGTTATTTATCGATTAGTTTATTTTAATTGTAGTTAATATATTTTTTGCGGCAGCAGTAAAGCACTGTAAGTGCTACAAAGCGTCTTTAGTACAACAAAACAACAAACAATATCAGTTAGAACAATTTTTGAAAACTTTTTTAACAGTTTTGACTGCAAACTATATAAATATATATTTTATATTTATTTTTAAGTTTATTTTAGCTCTTTTTAAAATTATTTTAAATAAAAAACTATTTACAGCATTGAAAGAAATGAAATGAAGCTTTATGGTTACCATTCATGAAAAGTGAGTTGCGCTTTGTTTTGACTACAAAAACTTGTGTTGGAAATCATTTCATCAAGGCATAAGTCAGGTCGAAGCTTAAGCTCACTGCTTATGCCTGAGGCTTCACTTGTTGTCTTCTGCTTTGAGATTGAGATTTGTCATTGCATTTGCGTTTTTTCCTCTATACAAATGTGTTGTTATATTAAACATTTTGTTTAATTTCTTAAAATATAAACATTTTGCATTTATCGTGTTTGTTGCGCTGCATCTATTGACATACAAATATATGCATAAATAAAAAATAAAATGCGTGAGACAGTAAAACAATGTTTCTAATATTATTTCAATTTTTGTGAAGGAAAGTTTTCATAAATATAATAAAAATAAAAAAATGAGTTTTCGATAAAACAAATTTGGTCTAGTTTTTTTCACGTGTATATTTATTTATTATTTCATTACTCTAATTTGTTGCGTATGAAAAATGTTCATGCAAAATAAGGCAGCTTCGACTGATTTTTGAATATTTTACATACAAGTATATTTATAAATTTTTGCTCTGATTTTTCTCAATATTCGATGCTGATTCGACTAATGTTACACTTTTTCTATTATCTTAGTGAATTTTTTGTTAAATGAACAAGTAATGTGTTAAATTTTTTAACAACATACTTTATACCGTTTTATTACACTTTTTAAATTTTAATTTTAGTAAGTGTGATTATTATATTTTTATAACATTTCTTCATTTATTATTTTTTCACTTTAAATTTCAGCATTTTATTTAATTTTTATTTCACTGTTAAGGCAATACTTTTTCAAAAACTTTAAGGTAATTATTTCAAAAAGTATGTTATAGTGTATTTTTAGCACAAATTTTGCGGGTAATTTTATTTATTACTTTATTTAAATTGTTTATAAATTAATTGCTGGCACATTTTTCGCTTATAAAGACTCCTCTGTTAATTCGTTACAAATTTTACTAAAAACTATTTTATTTTTTATAATTAATATTAAGTATGTATAGTTTTCGCTGTGACAAAGCTATTGAAAGGCAATTATAACAACCATTTCAAGGCCAAGTTTCTAATATTTAAGCGTTTTAATACATATGCTGCAACATACTTGCAATTTTATAGGTCATAAGCATAAAATAGTGAAAACAAACAAAATTCAATGCGCAATAAACATGAAAGTAACAAATTTTGGCCACATTAATTAAAGTAGTACAATCGTCTCAAAGAAATTGCATTAGAAACGCGTTTTTTGTATAGCAATATTTATGAACCACAAAAAATTCGTTTCTTTAAAAAAAAAAGAACATTTTTGATATGGCTTTCATATTGATACCGTGTAAAAAACAAATATTTAGATCAGAAATAGAAAAAATTAAGGTACTTTTAATAAACTATATAATAAATAAGTGAATGGTGATTTGACGTTATCGATAAGTTTTTAGTGTCAAGTAAACATAACAATGCGCTTAGAGGTACATACAAAATTAATTGATGTTGAAGTGATACAATTGCGATATTTAATTTCAAGGAGAAATTTTTGGACAATTTTCGATAATGCAGTGGAAAAATAAAATCGTGTACATATTACAAATATATTAACATTTTTATAAAAAATGAACATTCTTCAAATTACAAAAAAAAAAAAATATATATATATATGGTTAGTTTAGCTAAACTTTTTTGAAAAGTCGCAAGTTGTTTTACGAAAAATATTATGCGTATTAACGCGTTTTGCTTGCAGCTCTTAGAGCCTATTTCAGTACGGAAAAGCTGCCTACACTCCACTTCGCACACTCTCACTTAAGAAAAATTAGACTAAAACTTATGCTAAGCTAAAATTATTGCCAACGAAAACACTAGAATGCTATTGAAAATTTACAAAGTGCAGCTTTCATATAAACAAGTACACATTAACACTAAATCTAAAAGCTTAAAACTATTTTGATTAAACAAAATTGGTATTAAAAAAATATATAAGCACAATTAAAACTACGCTTAATATTAAAACTTAAAATAGCTAATCACTTAAAAGTTAAATTGTCACGCAACTTTAGTAACATGGCTACTGCGACCAACCGCTGTGCGCATATTTTACACGCTGCTGCGGCGTAACGCTACTGATTGACCGACTCTTTTGTCGTCGGTCGGACTTACTCTAGGCGTCCGAGTGTCTTTTTTACACGCAACGCCGTCAGACGCACCGTCGGGTTCGGATGCCAGCATTCTTGCATGATCTTCGACATGGTCGCCAAAACATCGTCGTCCTGCCAGCGCAACGGCACTGGCGGTCGGAAGCCCTTAATGCAAACCACATCGTGCATGTCTTCGAATGTGGGATCGGCTGGCACCACATCGTGATAGGGCAATGCATAATCTTCGCACGTGGTCGTATTCGAGCCGGGCACTTGTGTGTAACAACGTCGGGACATCTCCCACAATACCAAACCAACTGAATACATATCGGCGCGTTTGAATTCCTCAAATTGCTGTTGATTCAATGTCTGATTGAGCATTTCTGGAGCCATATAACGTGGCGTACTGACGCGTGAATTTTGTGCGATTTGTATTTCATCCATTTCCGAGGTGTATTTAACGGCCAGTCCGAAATCGGCAATGGCGCATTGACCATTACGCTTTATGAGTATATTATTGCTTTTGATGTCACGATGCGCTATAGCCGGCTTTCCGGGTGTACCAACGATTTCGTCATGCAAATGTGCCAAACCCGAGGCGAGTGAGTAGGCCAACAATTGCAGCTTTTGCGGTGTAATCACCGATGTGCAGAGATAATCATGAAGGCTGCCATTTTCGTGGAAATCGGTGATGAGCATCATTTGTGTATGACTGCCCATATGCTTGATGTCGGCGGCAATAAAACCGAGTATATTCTCGTGTCGGATAAGCACAGTTTGATAGATTTCAGTTTCACGGAACCACGAAGACTCTTCGGTCATGAAGAAGATCTTGACGGCGACGCGTTCATCACGCCACTTAGCCAGAAACACTTCGCCGTAACGTCCTTTACCCACAGTGCGTACGATTTGTATTTGCTTGGCGATGGTACGTTGCACTAGCAGTGGCAGACCCGAACCCGAACCCGTACTCTGACCGACCAATTGCGAAAGCGGTGATATTTGACTGTTACACATGGAGCTGATGAGTCTTGGCTGTTTGCCTTGCTTTTCGCGACGCCGATACATTACACAGAATATCAGCAGGACCACAACAAATATCGTCAAACAGACAATCAGTGAGGTCAGCATGAGCAGGTAATGTATGGATTGTGAGCTTACTGGCAATTCGGGCGGGGTGGTGGTGCTCTTCGGTGTGTATTCGGGGTGGATATTGCGATTACAGAAATCAGCCGAATCACAACAGACGATATTCTTGCCATGCAGGTGGGGAACAGCGGCAACTTTGCACTGTAAACAAATTATGAGAGAAGTATTAGTTTAGTTGAAGTGTCGCACAAATCAAAACAGTTCATCTGTGTTGTGTTACTCACCATTAACAGCCCGCCATTCTCTTCTGGCGGCATGCAACCATATGTTCGCTCCTCCTCGTATGTGCCTGTGATCTCATCGTAGACTTCTTCGACTGCGCTAAAGCAGGAACCACCAGGACGGGTCTCACATGTGCCATTTATAACATTGTCGGGACAACTGCCATCGCAATAACAACTCAGTGTGCGGGCTGGAATTAGAATGAGAGTTGTAGATGTAAATTAGTGAGAGCAGCAATTAATGAAGCATACTTATATGAAATTATATACGTTTGCATAAATTTTCTATTTATTTAAGATAATTTTTTGTAATTAAATTTGCAATTTTGTACATAAACAATTTATATAAATTATTTAAATAAAATTACACAAAAAATTTAAATATTATCTTCAAATGACTTTCAAACCTCGCACAAATAATTTTCAAAAGCGGGATTTTAATTTTTTTTACTGTATGAATTGATATAACTATGTTTATCAAGCAGTTTATTTTAATAAGTTTAGTTATTTCGATTAAATATTTGGGTTCTTTTCCGATAATAAGTGAAAATAAGATGGAAAAGTTTTTATATAAAAACAGTTACAGTTTTTTTGGGATATAATAACATTAGTTTACACCAAATTTTATAAAACTTTAATTCTTGTAATAGATAAAAAAAAAAACTTGGTTATTTTAAGTTTTCACATACATTTTGAGGATATGAAAAAAGTGTCAATACAAAAGTTGTAGATACTTTTATTAGTCCATAGGACTCGTAGTTTTGCCGGTAATGTTTTTATTCCTTAGATATTAGACCACCCCCTGCCCTCCTCTTGCCGACCCCTGAGCACTCGTTAACTATTTTTCCTTTCATTTCTGTTATTTTATCTTTAGTTTCAACCTACTATGATTTTCTTTCACTTTTTACTTTTTTCAAACGCTTTTGCATTGCCCTAAAAATATAAAATATATTTAAAATTCGAAAATCCTTACCAATTTATTTTTAATTACATAAAATATGAAAAATTAACATTACAAAGTGTAGTTAAAAATAATTAAAAAAAAATATTTTTTATACTATTTTTTAACTGATATTTTTTTACCACTTATTTCTTAAACAAAATTTTTGTAGCCATGATTTGGTATCCACAACATTTTCAATACTGAAAAATGTTCTGAATTCCGATTCGATAAAACTTATCGAAATGAAAATTTACAAGAGTACTAGAAAATATATTTTTTGATTCGGCAGCACTTGTCCGGTACTTAAAGATCTAGAAAGTAAATCTTCTCACTTTTTAAGCCGAATTAGAATACAAAATATTAATATAAAGTTTGTACTCCTCTTTGCTAATAAGCTTCAAAACATTCTTTTAATATGACCCAAAAAAACGTCGAACTCTTGTTGATACAAACTTCACAAAAAACCAATAATAATATAATATAAAAATATATACAATTTTGGATATCTTTACACTTAACTACATATTTTAATTATTTTATTTCTAGTATAAGTTTTGAAAAAAATAAAAATGAAAAAAAATCATGCATACTTTTTTATTATTCCTTTCATGCGTCTCTCAGCCAAAAACAATTTTCAAAAAACTTCAAACGAAACGAAATGTTCCCACTCACATCCAAGAAGCGTTCAAAAACTGTGTCGGACGTGCGTATTGGACAAATGCACAAATGTACATACAAATATGTATGTATATACGTACTTGTGACAAGTCGCATAAAAAATCAGCGCCGACACAATGCAACATACAACACAACAGTGTGTCTTATAAACGCTGGCAAAACAATGGCGCCAAAGTTGGCCGCGCTATTATCAAACTGATGGTTAGTTAGAGGTGATCGGTGATCGTGGCCAGTCAACAGGCAAAGCGCCTGCAGGCGTGCTGTTGATGGCGCTCCGCCACATGAAATCTCTATGCGCGTGCCGCCGCACAAAAACCACCATAGACGCAAGAGTAGAACGGATTGTATACATACATATGTACAAATAAATATATTGTAAATATGTGTATGTGTATTGTTCTTTAAAGCGCCACAGTGTGGACAACTGCTTCCTCTCTTTAAATGCTTTCCTCGGCTATTGAAGTTGCTGCTGTCGGTTTATTTGCTTTCTTTTTCGATTTATACATTCCGAACGCAAAATGCATAAGACGGTTGGAATACTTTTTATGCTACAAACAGACATAGATACATAAATATATGATACATTGTTGTTGTTAATTTGTTGCATCCTTTTTTATAGTTTTTTTTCTTATTTTCTGCTGCTCAGCGTTGTTTGCGGCGACGCTTTTGGAATTTACAATAGAAATGTGAGAATGTTTTCTTGTAAACACTACTACTTGGACGACACATTGCCGCCCACTCCACCTCATCGCATCACGTGGCACCACTGCACCAATCCACGCTCATCATGGCCTTTTATTGAGTTGTGTAATAATTGTTGTTATTAATAAAATTTATATTTTTATTGGCTTTCGTGAGCGCCAGCGAGTTAAACAGGAAAAGCATTCGATTTGGAGTTGGGAAAAGAATGTTCGTTTCCTCATTTGAAATACTTATTAAATAGATTTGGAAAGTGCATTGGTTGTTTGAAGTGATAGCTTTAAGAATTCCGGAATGAAACCAAACAAAGGAGAGCATGATATAAGGTGAAAAAGAATGCATAATTTTTTATAAAAACTAAGCTTGTTTAGAGTTTTTGGAGAAAACTAGTATATACATATTTTGCCCTCAATATCAGTGTCAGTTCTTATCTTTCGAAATATTCGAAACACTTACATATGTTCTACAGATCTTTGTATGACCTTAACAGATCTTACAACATTTCTTCATCAACTTCAGAATTAAGACAAAATATCAAGAGAGGAAATTAAGCCCGCTGAATGAAGGAGATACTTTTTACGTGTGTAAAAAAAGGACTAGCTGAATATGTTTTGTAATCTATGGTAGCGTGACCCAACTGGGAAATAATTTTTTGAATGAAAACTTAAACATACAAGTCGTCATCTTAACAGCAGTTTGGCCGGATCTCTCTTTCCGATTTTCCCGTAAAACTATTTCGAGTTATAAAATATTCTATCGAGGAAGCGCTGCTGAAAGCAATAGATGTACGATCGATTTTCCCATATAATTAAAATTTAGATAATCGATAATAGTGAAGTACCGTGTTACTCTGTTGTTAGAACCGACTGTCTGTTAAGAACTAGCGAATATGAAACCAGCAACTATCTTGAGTTGATCATATTACCTATATATAATTTGTGTCTATGATTGAATCTAGTAAAAATGAATTTATTATTATTCTAATAGTTGGCTGTAGTAATCTGTATCTCGCGTTGTATAAGTGCGATCGGGTTATCAGGTTGCTTGCCTCAGTATTGTTTGAGTACGCAATTAAAATGGACACGAGCCAAGACAAAACACATAACAAAGAGAAGGCCACACTGATCTGACTCGCTCGAAGGTCCGGAAGCTTGGTTGGGAGGTTTTTATGAATCCTCTTAAAGTCCGGACCTGACACCTAGTGATTACTACCTGACTATGTCGTATGATTATGCTATCGCTATCAACTGGTGAAGTGTTCGCCAATAAGGGCGAGGGTTTCTATAAGAGTGGCATTATGAAATTACGTTCAAGATGGCAATAAGTTTTCGAGCAAAACGGTGCATATTTGACCTAAATCGGATCATTCTAACTATGCTAAATAAAACCTTAATTTTAATGCAAAAATAATTTATTTCTTTTTACTATACCTATTTATCCATATTTTAAAAAGTTTTGGAAATTTTCGTGGGTGATAATTTGAATTATTTTTTGTTGTAATAGCTTAACTTAGCCAATGGGATAATATGGCTTTACAAATAGATAAAAATATTATAGAAAAGTTCTAGATTTTTGATGGAATTATTAAAAAATATTGAAAGTCTGTATCTCTATGCTTATTATTTATTGAATAATTTGAATTTTTATTGTTTACCAAGTTCTACAAAATACGCAGATAGAATTGGCATGGTAGCTAACACAAACGCACTCTACAACTCTTAAGTCCTTTACGTAAGAAAGGCAGGAACAATCACACCTACCCAAGAGTTTCGGTTGGAATTGCCAATTGGGTCTTAAGAAATTCATAGGTAAAGCGCCATCTCTGCTAGCGTATTTGACTAATTAAACAGTGATTTTACCAATAGTTGGCTGACAGCGTACATTGATTGCTGCTTGAATAACTTTGTTCAAATAAATTTATCGGTTTATCGACTTCGATATTTATGTTCATGCATAAAAAATGAAGAGTAATTAAATTAACACATTAAAAACTAATCAAAAAAAAATTATGACTTTGGTATTTCCCATTTAAATAACTTTCAACACGATTTCAAGTAGTTCAGTGATTTGATTAAAATGCACTTACAGGTTGAGAGACAAAAATGTTGCACTTCACCAAATTAAAGCGCAAGAAATGCATACGTTAGAGTAAATAAATATTTTTGCATTAAATCACACATAAATGCATATTTACGCATGCATAAGTACTTATTCATTTGAAATGCATTAAAGTGCCTTAAATAGCAATAACTTGCACTTTTTCCACGACTAAGTAAGTAAAACCATGAAAAATGCCGCATTCCATGAGCACAAATATACAATATTATATGTAAATACATATGTACCAATGTAAGTATATCTGTGCATACAAATATGAAAGCAACATGCAATTATAGTATGTATAAACAAACAGATGTGCTTGTAAGTGCATAAGTGAGCTTTTGTGTTTGGAAAAAAAGACACAGCCATTACAAAAAGTATGCATACAACGCACTGCAGTGTACTATGGTGTCAGTGTACAGGCATCATGGAAATAGCTGCAGCTTCCAAGGCATGTCGGCATTTTAGTTGCGGCATTTATCTGCCATCTAGACATGCATATACATTCATACATATTAATATATATGAATGAATTAACAACAAAAAATGCACACAGAGCAATAAAGCCTCAGCAATAATTTGATGTTATTTATAATTTTTTTATTATTTTTATTTTTTTTATAGCAATTTTTCTCTTGTATTTGCTTGTCATTTCAAATCCTATTAAATATGTGCTATTAAATGGCAATTAAATCATTATCGGAGTTCCATTGAAATTGCTGACATGTAAAATATGCACAATCGTCAGCTGTATCGACTAGTGAGTTGGCC